CCCCCACAACTAACAAGTATATTGTAAGAGGTGATTAATTACAAAGTAACTGAAATCGGATGTATTGAGTTGAAAGGTGCAGATATTGCAGCCTAGCTGTAAACCACAACACAATGCACCAACCATCCTTTTAATAACAAATGCATGAGAAGAAGTTTTTTGGTAAAACACATATGCCACTGTAACTTTACCTTGGTATTTGTAAAATAATAACATAACATGATTTAAAATACATGTTTAAGAGAATGAGATTACTACTAAACTGTATTACTGATTCTATATAATCAACAGGTAAAATAACCTTATAAACACACCTGCTTTGAATTTAAAAATGTTTGTTCATAAATGTATATAAACGTTCAAAGGATGAAAAAAGGTTTAAAGTTCTAAATAAAAGAAAGAAAATAGTCTGCAAAAAATGTATTCACATTTTACCAAAAGAAAACCGATAAAAAATTATGATATGAAATTAACATTAGGGATGAATACAAGTTACTTTTGACTTCTATAATTACAGGAAGCACTTATTATTATCATCCATGTGGCAAATAACTAGGCTCGCAATGTGGCCAAAATGTATTTACTGATCTTTAACTATGGCTAGGAAATGCCTGTGCTGGCAAGTAGCACAAGATGCGGAGAAAAATATTCTGGAGCTACTTGTCAATAAATGCTATGCCCAAAACTTTAAACTGTTTTTGTTCAATTACTAACTTAGTAAAGGCAACATATAAAGAGATGAAATGTCGAATCCTTTATGAGGGAAAGCTAACATATACATTTAAAATAAAAACAGGTGTGCGACAGGGATGTCTTTTGTCGCCTCTCTTATTTTTACTGGCTATAGACTGGATTATGACAACAGTAACTGCTAACACCAAGAATGCAATTCAGTGGATTCCTACAAAACTTGATGATCTGGACTTCGCTGATATTTCTCTTCTGTCCCATTCACGGAATCAGACATAATTTTTCTTTGCAATTTTCTCCCTAGAGTTTAACTGAAACAATTCAATGATTAGTAAGTAAAAGTAAAGGGCCTTTCCACACCAGTAGTGTACTGGGCTTATGACACTATGTAAACCAATGGGTACTTAAGGATGATATGGTCAACATAACATGGCCACCTTTACTTCTCAGGATATTACCTTCTACTCATTTTATGTTAGGTTGATTCGCCAGTCTAAGTTTTTTTAAGAAATCAAAATTGATGCAAATTTGATTCAAAGGCCTGAATTATTTGTATTGTACTTCAAAAGAAGGATTTTCACCCACATGGGAATTGTGTTCTTGCCATACACTGCCTATCACTTTGTAGTTTTGCAGGGATGTCCATTAAACACAATTTTCAACATCTTATCTTCAGTGTAATGACTTATACATGTCATTATTATTTATATTCTTTCATGTTCATATCTCCTGTGTTGAAATAGTATACTATTCTGCTTGTGACATTCAGCACAATTATTTCATGTACAAAGAACCCTTTTCCATGCCTTCAAGCGTACTGGGCACATACGGCTAGACCTATATTTTATAGACTAATCAGCACTCAGTGGCCTTTACTTCCCAGGACTATACCTAATACCCACACAAGGCTGGGTCGACCTGGGAAGCCAGGTCATTTTAGAAAAAAGTCCGGCTCCGTCAGGACCTGAACCCACACAACTTCCAATCTGCAGTTGAGCATCTAGCTGCTACAGCAAAGTGGCTTCCAGATCTTTTATAGCAACAAACAAAACTGCTGGCAGAGAAGTTTGACAATCTCTCTGGCAAACCTCTACACCCCAAGGTAGTAGAGGATCGACTGATTAAATAAGTAGAGCAACATGTGCTATCCCTAGCTGCACCTGCAACACTTTGTACTGCAAGGAAACAATTCATGTTACATGCATAATTATAAGCGTAACAACTTATAAGAAACTATCACATTTATAGTTAGTTGTGTATCCTTTACAGGACGTTGCAGAACCAACCCTGGCATTTTTGGCTGTTGTGGTTTTTCTAGGCAAATTTTACCTTCAGTAGTTTCCCAATGCTGCCTGAACGGTCAGCTGTAAGTACCACTGTGGAAACCAAAGCAAGAAAAACCGTCCCTAGCTGGGATAGAACCCAGCACCCCGGCATTACCAAACGCGTTTGCAGCGCCTAAGCCACAGACACTGACTCATACCTGAGTTAAAAACTCATTGTCTTTCATAACATAACATAGCAGACTCAAGAGTTGGAACAGGTTTTCCAGGAGCATTCCAACCAACCGACCGACAACTCAACAGTCATATGCCAAAACAATGTCCAATAATACACGTAGAGCTTCTCGCTTGGTTTTCAGGGCAGTAAATAAGGAATGTGCTGAGTAAGTATCAAACCAGCTGTTTTGTCGACCCACAAAATATTTTAATATCTATTTTATGTGTGCACACAAGCCTCCTTAACTACCAGAAAATATTCTATTGCTTATTTCTGTAACACATCAGCAACCTTCTTTTTTTTCCTGCCTTTCTAAACCCCAATGGAGCATAGGCCCTCAACAAATGCATGCCAGTCATTCAATCCTTCGCTATCTCATGCAGATCTCCCCCCATTTTTTAAATCTCACTCTCCAGTGCCCTTCATGTTTTTTTTTTAAAAATCTTTCTTTATTTCTATGCCCCTGTGGGTTCCAGTGCAAAGACATTCTAGTTATATTGCTCTCAGGTTTTCTCAACATGTGAACTCTCCAACACCAGCATCTTTTCTTCACCTCTTGGTCCACTGGAACTTGTTTAGTTATCTCCCAAAGCCCAACATTAGTGATTCCATCATACTACTGGCAATCTTATCTCCCAGATAATATTTTTCTGTTTTTAATGATACTGTGTCTACTACAGTGTCTTTCTTATATTTAAAATACAGGCTTTTAAAATCCCCCAACAATTCCGGATTGCATGGGAAAAAGCTAAAACTTTTAAATTCTCATTATATTCAGTGATAGGTGAAAATTATAACAACGGAATCTTCGCTTAGACTAAACAAAAGAAATATATCTAAAATAAAGGGAAGTTTTTGCTACAAGATAAATAATAAAACATGAATTTTCTTGACCCATGGAAAAAATATGAACAAACAAGATATAATCATCATTACCCTGTTATAAATGTTCTATACACTGCTCTCCTTATCCAGGAGCTTCTGCAGCATTCTTCGTCCCAAACATATTGGTGTTACCTTTCCTTTAGAGGTAACAAAGCAGGCAAAGACAGAATGAATATGCTACATGGGCGACACAAGGTCTCTACAATACTGCCCAGGCAGGCTTTGTGCTTTGGAGAAGAGGAACTTCATTCATAGTCTTAACTGGTAGCTACATAGGCTGTGATGTATCCTATAGTGCAACAGAAATCTTACCGTTTGGAAACAGGGAAAGGCTCCAACATGTCCCCCCCCCCCCCCCCCAAAAAAAAAAAAAAACAACTTCATTCTATCTTGTCCAATTCTTTTTCTTCAATAATATGTTCATCGGATGAATTGCAACGATGGTACGGAGAGATATCATCAGTTGAACTGATCCGGAGGACAAGGGACTGAGATCTGTGAAGATGCATGACGCCCTTGCCAGTCAGCAGGGCACGTGATGAAGATGATGAATGTGGATACAGTCTAGTCAGGCACCTATGGCTTCTCTTGTCAGGATTCGTTGTAGAGTTTGCTCTTGGATGTAACAATTTTAACTCACACAAATTGGTAATAAACAAACAATATTATCAAAACCAAGAGGGATGTAATCAAACTAGATTTACCGAGGCTATGGACAGCAAGCAATAACAAACAAGAGATATCATTGATCTCATCACTGTCAAGGGCCTTGCTGGGAAGTTAGGCATCTTTGTCTACAGACCTCAGTGCTTAGTAAAAGTAAGCAAAGGACCCATTATAAGCCATTGCCACATCCAGCAAATGGTATCAGATCCACATTTTTATGAACCAATTGGCACTAGATGGATGATCTGGTCAACAGCTGCCTAAACTTCCAAAGATATTTCCTAGTACTAATTTTAGAAGGATTCAACCTTTTTCCCATCCATGCGCTGTGATCCATGACATCCCATTCCCATGAATCCACATCAATACATGTATTATTCATATCCCACTTGCAATAATGAATCTGCAACATACACGTTTTAGAAACCACACCTTCACTGCCTCAGTAATTTGTCCACTTACATTCCAATACTAGTTACCCGATTCACTAAAGAGAAAAAGATGAGATGATTTGGCGATCTAATGAGAATGCCCTGTTACCAACTGCCACAGAGAGATATAGAATGAAAGAAACATAATGAACCCACAAGACTTCTTATGGCTGCTCATGCATTTTCATGTGTGTGTATGCTATTGGCTTTGCGCGAGATTGCAGCCTGCTTTAAATTTGTTTCTTTTCTTTCTGCATGATTTTCGCTGGTACAGGAGAGAAGCAACTATGGGTCCCAATAAGCCATGAAGTTGGAACTGCAATTAACTGATTAACTGAACACAGAGGTGAGGAAAGCTCATGGAAATGATGAAGCTATGGCATCAAAATCAGCCCTAAAGAAATGAAGATCAAGTTATACAATACATCAGAGACAGCATACAGAAGATCCTTACATCTCCCTCCTACACCTCTATGAGGTAACTGGAGAAAGAGAAGAAACAGAAGAGGAGATTCAAAAATTCACTGAAAATTTATAACAAAAATGTACACTTAATGAACTAATAAAACGAATTCAGAGATTTTTGGGGAAAAAAATCATACATACATAGCTGGAAGACAACATTTTATCTCATTAGAAGTTTAAAAAAAAAACAACTTAACAACAAACAAATTCACTCAATCTTTCTATGCAACCCTTAACACTATGGAATGGTCAGGAAACCCAAGGCACCATACTAACAAAGTCTACAAAAGAACGACATCTATAAAACAAAACACTAGCCTTACATGTAAAACTAAAAACTGTTTTACATGTACAACACAAGCCTCATAACTCCACAGTGTCAGCTAATTCATCTGTCAACTGCTTGAAGTCGGTGATGTACCAGGCTGATTCCTCTTTCACTTTGTTCCTCACAACATTGCCTCCATATCCTATAAATGCATCCTGGTTGAAAATCAAAATGTCAAGTTATTCTATAAGTGCATCCTGGTTGAAAATCAAAATGTCAAGTTATCCTATAAATACATCCTGGTTGATATTCAAAATGTCAAGTTATCCTATCAATGTATTCTGGTTGATATTTAAAATGTCAAGTTATCCTATAAGTGCATCCTGGCTGAAAATCAAAATGTCAAGTTATTCTATAAATGCATCCTGGCTGAAAATCAAAATGTCAGATTATCCTATAAATGCATCCTGGTTAAAAATCAAAATGTCAGGTTATCCTATAAATTGACCCTGGCTGAAAATCAAAATGTCCAGTTAAATCAATCCCTCCCCGTGCAGGTTCTAGGGCCCCAATCGGAGCCTCCCCAAACAAACATGTTATAAAAGGTGACAAGGGACCTTTTGAAAGTTAGAGTACATTTGCTTGAGAAGTTGTGAGCCAACAATCTGCACACAAATAAAACAGATGTGCACACAGAACTTAAGCTCTGAAACAAGGCTGAAGTTCGGAAGTGAACAGACAACTAAAATTTTCTGCTGAAGTTTACAGCCATGAGCACTTAATAGAAGAAGATTCAACTCCCAAAGTCCAAAGAACTATAGGTCTTCAATCAATTCATGACATTTTCCCAATGGAGCACAGGTTCGGAGCCAGCCTTAGCGGTGAAATCCAACTAATTATAAACAAATATAAAGAAGAGGATTAGTGAATTAGTGAAAACTTTTTTGGAAGCTGCAGAGATGTAGTTTTATAGACGAATGATGAGAATACCCTGGACAGATAAAAAGAGTAATTAAAAGAACCAATTACCCAGAAAGAGACAATCTAAATTTTTTGGTATTGTGATGAGAAAGAGAAAACTGGAGTACATCGTGACAGTAGGAAAGTTGGAGGGAAGGAGAGGTAGAGGGAGACTGAGAGAACAGGCAAACAGAATTTGACTGAATGGATACGTTTAACAAAATGGAGCAGCAGACAAACGTGCACAAAATTGCTCATCGAGTTTTCTCCGGGCCTTTCTCGAACTAAAAACTACACAAAAATAACAGAAAGGAGAGTATTCTAACCACCAAAGACCATCGTCAAATGGGTCACATGACAAACAATAAAAAGATGATGTGGAATTAATAAAATTATAAAAAGGAAAGCTAGAAAAATGGTGATAAAAGTAACAGCAATAATATGTAATAATAGTAGGAATATGTATGACAGAGGTAAAGGGAGCTATCGACAATCAATAGCAAGTGGTGACCCAACAACAATCACTGTTATGGGACTATGATGATGATGATAGTGATATAAAATCTAAGCAAAATCTGACACTTACTGCAGGAGGGCAAGCCTCCATGTCGGTGACTCCATCGCCAACAAAGACCAAAGTCTTCAAGGAATACTTGTCTTTAATCAGCTGAACCACCTTGGGTTTTCCACCTGTCTCTGACGTCAGCTCATCTGTGTCAAACCCGGCAAAGCTGCCATCTGAAGTTTAAAAAGCATGACCAAACACTAACCAGGAAATGTCCCATCAAGTAAAGGCGGTGGCTATGATACTGGTAATTTCACCAGACACTCAATGCACCCGGTGGCACAGAAAAGGCCTTTGTTTTGCGTGTGTGTAAAATATTTGGCTTCAATTAATTTTTTTTCTTTCTTCAACAATTGGGTCCTGGAACTCGAAAGTGTTTCTTTGTACTTAAATTAAATTCTGTGACATAAACATGCTGTTTATAATTCTGTTTTGTTCTGTGTAAAGTTTGTCCTCTCCAGATTTGCAGTCTGTAGAAGTAACACCTCAAGGATGAGAATCAAACAGTTATAAACCCTGTTCAACTGTATAGCCATATAGCACAGTTATACTGGGACAAAACAAAATGGTTATGATATAACCCATAGTCCAGTGTTCATTGGTTACGTTACATAATCATGTTTACTTAAACAGGGTTTGCGACGTGATTATGTTATTTAAAACAGAACATCTTGACATATCCAATTTGTTTATATTTCTGCTAAATCTACCATTCATATGTGTCATTTATGACAAACACACTATGATTAAATGGACTTCCGGTGTAAACAGCCACAATGGCGGTACGCTTTTTCGTCCGTTGAGGCGAATGGCGCAAATTAACTATTTTGGCTCACGTATAATGTGAAAGTTTCATCGGAATGGGGTCTGAACCGTGCAATGGAGTACATGCACGTGAGTTCAGACTTCCCTCAGGGTGTATTCAACGTCCGATGGCGACTATTCACCAATTCAAAACAACCCATAGACGGACAAGGAGAACGCGAACAGGCAAGCACGGTGGCGCCTGCAGGAAGCGACTGAAATGTGAGAGACTCAGCTTAAAATATGTTCGCGTTCTCTACTGGAACTGCGCTTCGTTCAGTCAACGCCGACCCATTTTTGAGAAGCTCCTCTACAGCAACGACATTGTTGTCCTACAGGAAACACACCTCGGTGACGAGATCGTTAAAATTGCGGGCTTCCAATCCTTCTACAATAGACGGCACCTCGGACAGCTCATTCTTGTTCGTGACAACATACCGGTGTCTGAGGTGGACATGTCTGAGTGGGATAATGACGACCTACAAGTACACGCAGTCAGAGTGTTGGGCCCGGCCCAGTTTGTGATTGTCAATGTGTACGCCTGCAATGGAAAGGTGGATACAGCGAAATGGCAGAGTTTGCTCCAGACGGAGGAAAAGAAAGTCCTTTACTGCGCGGCGGAGATTTCAACGCCAGAGGAAACCAGTGGGGAAATGTAATCACCAATAAACAGGGGGAAGACCTGGAGGATGCCCTAGTGTCTGCCGATCTAGTATGCTTGAACGACGGAAAGGTTACCCGAATGGCAACCCGACAAGGGGATTCTGACAGCGTAATTGACCTGGCCCTAGTGTCTCCCTCCATTGCATCAGGATGCAGGTGGAGCACACTGGGATACCATGACAGTGATCACTTTCCTTGCGTCGTCCTGGTGGAGAAGAGCAACAACAAAGGTCATGTAATCAATGTGCCTGCTTTTCTATATGACCGTACAGGGCAAGATGCCATTAGCAAAATCAGACGACGTAAAACAAGAGCAGATCGCAGACGGCGGGAGAGATGGGCCCAGCCACCATGGTGGAATGAAGTAGTCAACATGGCGTGGCTAGAAAAAAGGAACGCTGTCAAGGCATGGCAAAAGGCAAGGAAAATTGATCCGTCACTTTCTGAACGCCTGATCAGTCTAAAAGATGAGGTTAACAAGCGGACAGTCGCTTTCAAGTTAATTGCCAAAGAAGCCAAGACAGCGAAATGGAACGAATTCTGCAAGAGCGTTTGCTCCGAGGGATCTCTTGTGACATTCTGGCGCCTTCAACGGAGCATGCACGGCGCCGCACGACCAAGGGGTATCCCTGATTTTCAGGGTACAGACCTGATATGGCAGAGAACTGATGCTGATAAAGGAAAAACCCTTCTTGCGCGCTACTTGGAGCAAACTGACCAAAAAGACGAAGCTGCAAGAATAGGGGTTAAGATGAAACTGTCGATGCTGTGCGAGAACACTGAGCTAGGCACTGATTTCACAATCACTGCAGACACCTTAAGAACTTGCCTCAAGAAATCGCGCAGCACTGCTCCAGGCCCTGACAGCATCCGATACAATGACATGCTGATGATGTCGAATGCTGATTTGAAAAGCGTGGCAAAGGAATTCAATATCAGCATCCAGAGTGGCCAGATACAAGAGGAATGGCTCCATAGTTATTTGTTCCCACTACCAAAGCCTAATAAAGACCACTCAAAGATCTGCGGCTACAGAATCATCTCGATGCAGAATACTGTTGGCAAACTTTTGGAAAAAATTGTCGCACAAAGATTGACCACCTACTTGGAACTACATGATAAGTTCCCATCAACACTTGGAGGGTACAGGTTGAAGAAAGAGACATGGTTCAATGCTGCTGTTTTCGCCTACGATGTGTACGAGGGATTTCAGATTAAAGAAGAGACATGTGCGGCAGTGTTGGACTCAGAAGATGCCTACAATAAAGTACCATACGAATATTTAATGCAATTACTGCTTAAACTAGAAGTCAATCCTATTCTGATCCGCTGGATTGCTGCGATCCTGTTCCAGAGAAAGATTGTACTAAGATGTGGTAGCTGGTCCTCAAAACCGCAAACGATATGTCCAGGCTTGCCACAGGGATCACCGCTATCACCAGTCTTATTCAACGTTTATACGGTGATGATCACTGAGCAGCAGTTGAATGGAAAAGGAAGGACTTTGTCATTTGCTGATGACATTTTGATTTATCGACGAGGGCGTGATAGACAGGAGATCGCCAGCACAATGCACAAAGAACTCGATCGAATTGCCGCCTGGTGTGATGGTTCCAATGCCTATGTCAATTCTTCAAAGGCATCAGTGTCATGGTTCTCTTTGAACAATCACATTGTCAAGTCGGACTTACCAGAAGTGAAAATGCGTGATAATATATTGATCAGAACCAACGTTATGACGTTTCTCGGGGTGAGGTTCGATCGCAGCTTGTCATTCAGGGAACACGTTGACCATGTGATAACAAAAGCACGCAAAGGTCTATCTGCAATGAGGATTATGGCTGCTTCCAATATCGAGCAAAGACTACTAATACTTCTATTCTACGGTCTGGTCCTTTCACCCATTGAATACGCTCTGGCCATCCTCACTGTCAGTGCTACCCAGATTGAAAGACTCGAAAAGGTGCAAAATGAAGCCATGCGCATTATTTTGGGATGTACAAGAGACACATCCTGTGAAGCAATGAGGTATCTACTTGACTTTCCAACAATGAACCAAAGGATCAGAATGTGGAGGGCTCGGGCATACCTCAAAATATGTGCTGATAAGAAACACCCACTGCATCAAGCGCTTTTTAGTGAAAAGGGCGACAGACTGAAGAGGGGAAAATCGTGGCTAGGTCGGGCAGAAGATGTTATTAGGCAAATATGCAGCCTAACCGACATCATACCTGGTGCAGAATGGATACCTGTGCCTCAGGCGTTTATTTGTACATTTTCCTGTATTGTCACACTCAACAGGCGATGTAGAGAAGAGAATCCTGTAGCTGTTAATGCAGAGGTCAACGCTCTCATCGGTGAAAATTCAGACGAAGCAGATGCACTAATCTACACAGACGGATCCGTTATACGCCAAAGAAGAAGCGCATGGGCATTTACAGCACGCTCAGCGGGCAGAACAGTCAAAGAAGCCAACGGTGCCTTCTCCATGACAACCAGCAGCATGACGATGGAGGTGATGGCAGTGACGCAAGCGTTTGCCTGGCTTGAAACACAAAAATACACCCACATATGTATACTCAGTGATTCAATGAGTATGATCCGGAGGGTTCAGGCAGGTTCAGTGCGAAGACAATGGCTTGAATCATTACAGAAGTCCACTGTGCGTGGAGTCACCTTTATTTTTGTTCCGGGGACACGCAGGCGTCGATGGAAATGAAAGAGCTGACAGGTTGGCTGGATCCGCTATCACTACCGACGGTCGGCCTATGGATCATGCTGATATTATCAATGCCCTCAGAGAAATGGGAAGGATAGAGGACTTTGGTGGCAGTGAATCCACATCACTCGCCAGAATGGCAGACTTGGGAATTAAGATCGGCACAGCAAAAAACGAGACGCACACCGGACACGTCAGAAGACTTGTTAATCAACATAGAACTGGTACTATTAGCCATCGGACGTTGGGGTTCATACTGAGGGGAGGATCTGAGCACCTATGGACATGTCCGGAGTGCAATGACGATAACCCAACTAACTAACTAACTAACTAACACTATGATTAAATATTTGCTGCAGAACTCAAGCCATTAATTAAAGAATTAGCAATAAAAGGATAAAAACAAATCATAAAAAATAAAAAATAGAAACAACTATATATCTAACTATCAATTCATCATGAAACATCAATAACAATTCTGATAACAAGGTCAGCATAAAACAGAAATAAATGTAAACAAAAAACAAAAGGGACAATCAACATAAAATTCCAATCATGATTTATGTTTTACATTCAAATACTCTTTCTTGCATTCTTAAAACTGATTCGTCTTTTTTTGCTGCATTCACATTTAACTCTTTGAGTTCCAGAGGGTTTAGCATCACAGGCCCAGGGGGTAGTTAAGAAAGTAATAAAATCGGCGCATCATGCGTTCATTGGGCTTCTAGGTAGGAACCTATGAACGTATAATGCGTTCCTTGGGACTCAAAGAGTTAAAAGGGCGGTTGGCATACTGAGTAGTCATTTACAGCTAGGCTGTGATATCTGTTAATTCTGGCACAAAACACCCAATTTCAGCACATGTCTAAACAAGCGTCTTTTATGATATAGGAAAATAAAGTCCTAATATCCAAACAGGAATAAATGTATTCAAATATAATGGATAAAACATCCTACCTTCATTAAAAAGCAGCCGATTTGCAAATACATGTTCCTGTGGTATACCAAGTTCATTTGCTACAGGGGCAATGATGCTGCGAAACCCACCCGAGACTAGAAACACCATTTTGTTCTTTGCTTTCAGCTCTTTGATAAGCTCTCTAAATGAGAAGGAAAAAAAGCAAAAGGTATAAGTAAATTAACCCTTTTCCAAGTATGTAACATCCTTCAGACACTACCAGTAGTATCTATAAACCTTACCTGTTCATTCTTATGATGGATGATATCATCAAGACCTATAAGGAGAAGACAAAGAAGAACTCTGTAGGGTACTGGAAGATGAGACCAATCTGTATATCAGAGCTGGCATTTGCAGACGATGTGGCCCTGATAGCTAAATCAGGGGCACACCTTCAGCCCAACTTACTTGTCCGGAAGGAAGAGCTTGAGACGAGAGGGATGACCATCAGTATCTCCAAAACTAAATCCATGGTGATCTCAAGAGAGGAGAAGAAACTCCAGATCATGATTGGACAGTATGCATTGGAGCAGGTCAACCAGTTCAAATACCTTGGAGTTGTGTTAGACTGAAATGGAGGCCTTCAGACTGAGCTGGCTACATGAAAAGCAGCTGCTGGAAGTCTCTTCCAGACCATAAACCGAGGAATTCTTAGCAAAAGAGAAATTGGCGACGACGAAAATGGCTGTTTACTGCTCTACCTATGTACCAGTCCTGACCTATGGGTGTGTCATGGGCAATGACAACAGCTCACAGATGCCAGCTTCAGGCCTCAGAAATGAGATATAAAGGTGATCCAAGTGACAAGAAGGGACAAAGTCCGCAATCAGACAATACTTCAAGATCTTGATACCCAGTCCTTACAAACCCGAGCGAATCAGTCAGTTACAATGGTTTGGACATGTATGCAGAACGGGAGAAAAATCGACCACCATGGCAAGAATGGGAAGCTAAGAACCAGACCTCCAGGGTGACCCAGGATGCGCTGGGAAGACAACATCCGACAGTCCCTAACTGACAGAGGACTGGAATGGAACAAAACCAGAATGAAAACTGCTGATAGAGACATCTGGCAATCTCTCTGGCAAACCTCTACACCCCAAGGTAGAAGAGGAGCGACTAAGTAAGTATCTATAAACTGGCTACATATTTCAACACTTTGGATCACAATATGTCTGACAACTAAGTTATGGTAATTACATTTTGCATGTTTCATGAAAGAGATCGCAAGGCTGGAAAATCATAGTTTTCAGTTATGGTTTTTTTCACCATGCAGTCAATGACTTACATGCTCATTCAACCAATCTCTATATTTTTTTAAACCAAAATTTGATTGCCTCACCTCTCTGTCCTACTTGTGTACTCTTCCGTTTGCTTGCTTTATGTCCATCCTTCTCATGCCTTCCCTGCACTTTTTAACCTTTCACCTTCACCAATTCTCTTCCTTCTATGTCATTTCTACCAGGGGATGTATGAAGCATATAGCACAGTTTAATTGTGCTCCCCTTGGAGCATTTAAAGATGAGCGGATCAGCTTTTTTTACTCTTGGATCTCAACATTTCCCAGGATCCACATTAAGCTAAGTTGTTGAAGGGAGGGGGGGAACTGGGTAGTTTTTTTTTTAAAAATACAGTTGCATAAGTGCTGCTTCTGTCATTTTGTCAAACTTCTTAATGAAGTAACAATTTTGTCAAACTGTGACTTATTCATGGTATTTTTGCATCTCTACCAAATTAATTTGCACACATTTAGTCATATTGACTTTCCCTTGGCTGTAGCCTCTTTCTTGATCTCTCACCTATCCTACCTTTCTGTGTCAATTCCTGTCTAATATCAGCAATTAGAGGCTGTAAACTAGATCTTTGTGTATGTTAGGGCACACATTAGCAAACACTTGCTCTTCATCATGGATGAATATTCTGACCAAGAGTTTACTTCAGCCTTTAAACAGCTAAGTCATTTTGTATTAACAGATATAACAGAAGAAGATAATAGTTTGGACAACATCACAGAGAATCACTAAACAGCGTTGAAATTGTAACAAATAAGCTGAAGAAACAAGGTGATTCAAGAGACATGCCAGGACTCACAATGCTGAGAGAGGCCAAAACTGCTAGATTGGATTTTATCCAAGTCATTAAAAAGATTGCAAAAGACAGAATGGAATGGAGGACTAGACTGAGGGTCCTATATAAGGTATAGTGGCACGATGCAATGATGACTCCTACTTTTCAATCTGGCTTATTGTGTTGTTATATGAAGAGGGGGGGGGGGGGGGGGGGGAGAGAAGAAGAAAAGGCAAACTCAGTTTTTAAAATGAAGCCAAATGGCACAAGACCACAACTTTGATGTAAGACATGCTGTCCAAGCAAAACATGATAATACAGATACAGAGCTGTATCACCACATATGGTGTTGCTGGTTCACTGGAACCAGGGCTCAGATCAATGTAGATTGGAAGGACACATCATCTGAGGCCACAGCACATCTGCATGACAAGCAAGTAATCAACAGTCTGCTCACAAGAAAGCTTGAAAGGTAAAACAAATGTGCATGCAAAATTCAAGTCCTAGAACAAGGCCAAAGTCCAGACACTGATAAGTTCAGATTTCACAGCTGGCAAATGCAAAAGAAACATGAATAAAGTGGACAATTATAAAACAAAAAACATTACAGAAGGAGATGAAGCAGACAAACAAAATAAAAACATAAAGAAGAAAATAACATGAAAGAAGAAGCCGGTAAAACACGCAAGAAAAAGAAATATGAAAGAAAATGAACAAAAAGAAACAAAGGAACAATAAAAGAAGAAAACGCAGAAGAAACGATCTAACATTAAAATATTATCCCATCCACAGATTTTAATTTTATAACTGGTAATTTCAGTGTTCGTTTTGTGATTCTGTGTCGGCTTTGTCTCAGAATGCACCCAACTCCTACCTTCTTTCTTTCATAATTGTTGACACCAACCCTAGGTGCTCACTGTAGCAATATTCCAGGACCTAACCACAATCTTAATTAATTCGTATAACCCAAGCTGAATCTGTTTCTTCAACAGTTTTGCAGAAAATAACCTTTTCATGGTACTTACAAAATATACAAATATATAGGAGGAAATAGAGAAGGAAAGTGGGAAAGCAGCAGCAAAAGAATGTCGAGGTTAACCAGCAATACACTTAAACCTAAGAAAACATACTTAATTCCAGGGCTGAGTCTAGGAGAATGTGTTGCTATAAACTTCTCCACTTGCTGGCGTGTAGGCTGCATGATTCCAAGTCTCTGTGTCAAAGCTTCACGAAAGGTCAACCCACCCCCCATAGCCTTCACTGTGCTACAAACAAAATTAAACACACATGAACAATCTCAGCAAATAATTAACTGTCTATATGTTTAATTAAGAAATCAACATTGCATTCTGGGCATTCCAATAAACTATCCATCCCCATCTTCAGCAGCAAACGCAGAGTTCTTATCCCAGGGGTACCAACAGCAGTATCTCCATCTCACCTTTTCCTTAAGCGCTGATCGTCGACCAAAACCCCTGGTCACTCCTCGCAGTACCATTCTCTTGAGACCATGATCCATTTGTGCTTCCACACTGTTCACTCACCCAAAAGGGCCCTTACAAATCTAGCTTGCCATACATCAATTCCCCACTAAGTTATGCAGAACCAGCCAATCTGCCTAATACACCAGCTGCAGTGATAGCCTCCACCTCCATTCTCAAACTAGATGTTGTGTTATATGCCACTTTTGTTAAGAACACCCATGAGCTTCTTCCGCCTCTCCACACAGAGCCATCTGTATAGATTATCACATCACCTGAGTGAGAACTGCCATGAATCAATTGTCAAACTTAGATTCTGCAGTGGCCGTTGGCCAGTCAATGTACTCACAGTCCAGCGTGATCATAACTTTACACATGTCTGACCTTTGCTGGGACATTCTGACCCACTCCTACCCTCGCCCAATGTTATCAAGCCTTCACACATTCCAATGGCGTCTCAAGCTTGCACCATCTAAGACCCTCTTTTCAGTCTGTGACCCTTAGCTCTACCCAGGTCTTTATGCAGGAGGTGCTTCTTGTCTGCAGCTGCTCTGAGATATGACTTTGCTTGCAGTACTTTCAGCCTATCTGTAACAGTTGGCAGTGCAAGTATATATTGCATATATCTACTGGGGTATCTCAAGGACATACCAGAATTATCCTCATGGCTCCATTCTGTATGCGTTTCATCAGCTGACATCTTGATATGGTAAGTGTTTACAGTCGAGAACCTATCATTGACAGGATCAAATGCTGGAACACTGTAAACAACATTTTGTTCCATATCCACTGCTGCTATAACCTTAAGTGCATCAAGTCTTTTTTGGCATTTTGCCATTACTGCCTCCATATAATCCCTGAAGTACCTGCTTCTATCAAAAGTGATACACAGGTACCTCAGTTTGCTTTCTCTTTTGATGCTTGAGGTACCATCAAAACAGGAGAATACACACATTAAAATAATCACCAAAAAAAAAGCTATTAAAGTTTGCAGCGATTATTAGACCCATCAATGTGTATATGACTTGAAGGTTAAAAAAAAACTTGGTTTGTAATTCCAGAATACTCAGTTTGACCCAGTTGCAGGCAATTTGGCAGCAGACTACTTTCTGTTAATTGGAGAACTGACCATTCAGCAAGCAATGGGAAACTAATGACAATAAAATGTCTACTAAAACCACAAACAACTTAAAAATGCTGGGGTTCGTCCTCAACACCCTGTAAAGGACACACAAATTAACTTTAATTTAACCAGCCACATCACATCCCCAGCCTTTTGTGCCGTTACATGTCACGCCGGGCTGACTCGTGGTCTATTCTTCCATGATGGCCATCCCATGCAACCATTTCAATATCACGGATCAAATCCAGTTTAGCACCTTAGGCCTGTCTCATCAAAGTTAATCTTAGAGTACTTCTTGGTGTCCTCATCTCATCAGTCAATTTGTTCCCCATTCAAGTGCCTGTATGGTGATTCTTTGTTCGCTAGTCAGATCTTGCACTTTTCCCATCAAGTCTAACAGTTGTTATTGATTTTCCACCTTTTTCTTCATGTTCATCGGCTGACTCTAGTGGACAGTTCTAGCTGTTTGTCAGTCCAATTTGGTGGGTGATGGAATAAACAGGCTTGGATTTGAAATGACACTAAACATACTGTATATAGCCACTTATTGATACAATAAGTAAAATTAATTATCTTCCATGTATATAACATGATTGAGGTTACACGTCCCAGAATACAGTGAACCCATGACATGAAGGGGCAAAGGCCAAATGGCAGGTGGAGCAGAGGTGAGGCGCTCCCAGCCAAGAGGGTGCGACAACACACAGAAAAGACACAGAAGTGAGCGGATTGCTTTTCTGAGGGCAGGGTGGCTCCTTACAAAGTAATCTTAACGACAATCAAGATGGGACATGTGCAAAAGGTGGTAAACCCATGCATTCTTTATTACCAGCAAGATTCAACTGCACAACAGAAGAATGAAACCAAGAGTCTCCACCTGGGTTGGCCTGCCCCAAGACAGTGTAAGGAAGGTGTAGGGGCAGAAACATTAGATGGAGGACCTCTTCTGATTATCAGAAGATCCCTATTGTGCTCGCTCCTTAATGGAAATTCCACAACAGACTACTATACATGAGTCTGTCCCATGTAATATACTGTGGCCTTACTTTTATAGATTATGATCAAATGATTCAATAGGGTAGTGGTTATCACATACACCAAACACAGAGAAGGTCCTGAGTTCAAGCCCCATGGATACTTTAAAACAACAAAAATGTTTAGTTTGTGTTATCCACATTTTTTGCAATGGATGGTCCACGTATTAAACTATTAAAACAAAAATGTAAAAAAAAAAAAAAAAAAAAAACCAATCGTGACTATAATTAATAATGGCTTTAGTGGGAGTCGTCAGACAGACCAGTCTTTTCCAATGTGGGGCTACCCCCCCCCCCCCGGGGGGGGGGGGGGGCGCCACCCCCTATCAGGATACTGGGGCAGCTGAGAAACGGTAGCTTCGCCTGTCAAAATAGTGGGGGTGATGGAACAGGATTGGGTGGGGGGGGGGGGGAGGAGAAGAGTAGCCCCAGGTGCACTTAAGGTAAATGACTAAAGCTACAGCAGCAGTGGAACTGTTAGCCCCGACCGTGGGTATGTGGGTGGGGGGGGGGGGAGTGGGGGCTGTAGGAGCCTTCTAGACCAGATCTTCCAATAGCTTTCATCAGTCACATCTGTGGGATGGTAAAAGCCGCCCTAGCACTTATGGGCAACGAATAAATATATGGCAATGGTGGAGACATTATCCCAGGCAATGCCTAGCAATTCATTATAGCAAATTGGTCAGATCAGTGACTCCCTTTGCATGCGCTACCATCCTACTGGGAGTGCTTGGGTGGTACTGGCAGTCCCCGCCAAAATCTGCCCATACGGCAGCATTGGAGACATAGATGAAGTAGAGAACAGGAGTATACAATTTTCTTTTACTATCCCGGGCAAAGCCAGGCAACTGAATCTAGTGAATAAATAAAAATAAGCATTCACTCACAATGCTGCAACTTGTGGTCCCACTCCACAAAACTCGGCTAATTCATCGATGCCTTCATCTGTACACACTGTCGAGTCCACATCAAAACACACTGCATCTGCCTGTCTCCAGAGGCGCTGAACTTGTTCTTGTGTTGACATAATGAAATCTCTGAATGCTGGAAGAAAATGTTTTTAAGAATTTAAAGGGTCATGCAGAAAAGTTTAAAAAATTTTTTTTTTAACATAAGCGATCATTATTATACTTTTTTCATCACATTCACTGACTGTGAACTCTAGCTGAAAGCTCTGGTTGTTCATCACCTATAGTCCGGTTCCATCCATTTTACAGATATGACTCATTTGTATGCAGACTGTTGGTTCCTTGCCTCTCAGGCAGATGCACTCAGACTTCAAAGGTAGCTCCCAATTACTAGATTTACAATATGCTTTTCGGTAGTCAGTGGTCTACTTTTGTGTTATCCACAATGTGGCTCCAGAACCCACATGGGGAAATTATTTATCTAAATATTAATCATCATCAAGTGCCCTGCTGACTAGTGTGAGTGTTCATGCCTCTCCACAACCTGGGATTTCCAACAGTACAAAATCAGTTCATGTACTGACACCCTTCAATGCCATGAAAAACTTATTAAGAATATTTTTACATTGTCCTTCACAACTCCCCTTTCCCTAAAATTTTCCAGCTGTCAAAAGCTCCAATTTCTTTATTCTTCAAATGTGGCACCAAAGAGTTATTTTTTTTTTTTCAAATTACAAAACATCAAATGTAAAAAAAACTGACAAATCACAGCATTAATTATAGAAACACTCCTGTCTTAATATGAAAAGAAAAACACACATTTTGACTTTGCTCACAACTGAAGGAACAAATATACTTTGAAAAACAAGTATGTTTTTTAATACAGTATGTAAACATTACAGAATAATTTACAATGCCTATGTAATCATGTCTTGATTCAACTTTTTACTTCTGTGTAAACAACAACACAATGTGCCAACCATTATTTGAAGGGCAAATGTAGAAGTTACCAGGAATTATTGTGGGATGTAAAAGCAGCACGCACCAAAATTTGATGCTGAAAGACAAAACAGGGTGAAGGGGATGAGGAAAGAGAAATAAATAAAAGCAAATGGTGTGACAATAAACACCAAGTGTCGACCGGTCTATACAATTCTAGGACTAAAACACTATTTACAGTACACCTCGAAGACCGGTCTATCCAATTCTAGGACTAAAACAATATTTACAGTACACCTCGAAGACCGGTCTATACAATTCTAGGACTAAAACAATATTTACAGTACACCTCAAAGACCAGTCTATACAATTCTAGGACTAAAACAATATTTACAGTACACCTCGAAGACCGGTCTATACAATTCTAGGACTAAAACACTATTTACAGTACACCTCAAAGACCGGTCTATCCAATTCTAGGACTAAAACACTATTTACAGTACACCTCAAAGACCAGTCTATACAATTCTAGGACTAAAACAATATTTACAGTACACCTCAAAGACCAGTCTATACAATTCTAGGACTAAAACACTATTTACAGTACACCTCAAAGACCAGTCTATACAATTCTAGGACTAAAACAATATTTACAGTACACCTCAAAGACCAGTCTATACAATTCTAGGACTAAAACACTATTTACAGTACACCTCAAAGACCGGTCTATACAATTCTAGGACTAAAACACTATTTACAGTACACCTCAAAGACCAGTCTATACAATTCTAGGACCAGAACAATATATACATTACAAATCAAAGTGAAGAAAAAATGGCTCTTTACTTTTTACTTCAAACTTTATAATGTAAAGTATTTTAGGGCTAGAATAATATATTCAGTAAGTAAGGAAACTATCCTTTACTTTTTACTTCCAACTAAATAATGTAAAGATTTATGTGGCTAGAACGATATATACAGTACACCTCAAAGTGAGGAAATAGCCCTTCCTTTTCTCGTTTACTTTAAACTATATAATGGAAAAGTAAAGGATTCTTTTCATGCCAGTGATTCTTCAAACTTCAGGCAAATGGAGTTAAATCTATATTTTTTTAAATAGACGCAGCCGGAATTCGATGGAAGATGAAGTCAACAACATGTTGGCCACCTTCATTTCCCAGGATTCACTGGTAATCATATTAGACTAGGTCGATCTGGGAGCAATGGTCACTAAAAAAGTTTGCAACACCTAGATATATCTACACTCCCCACATAATGCATCATGCACGAGATGTTATTTTACATAATCAATGATGGAGTGACACATAATGTATGTTGTTATTTTACATAATTGATGAGGGAGTCTTACATAATGTATTATGTTTTACATAACAGATCAGTTTTACCTAATTAATTAAATAATGGCAATGCAGTTTTTGATAATGAATGTTTACGCATTTAGCTGTCTAACATAATGTTTAGAGTTTTACATAATTGATGACAGCTTTACATAATGATATTAATATTATATCTTCCTGTTTAAATTATGAAACACTCTTGTCAGACACCGAGACAGAAACGGCAGCAAGTTAATTATTCGGCTATCCTTCCAATAATGGTCGTAAAATATCGGGGCGGAAAAAATCAATTGCGAAGTTCCACCGTCTTGAAATGAGAGTTTCCAGCAACTTCTGCTGCATAGCCAACTTTTGGCAACCTCCGCCACCGCCAAGAGCGGCGTGGATTGGGGCTAAACTAAATGGCCAGGACTCACGAGCAGCAGCTACCGCATCTTCCTTTATTTTATTTGCTTGTGAGACACTCTCGGCGGTGGCGGAGGTTGCAGAAAGTTTGCAATTCGGCGGTGGCGTTATAGTCCCCAGAAGTGCGCAACTGACGTGACTGAGGCCCTGTTAGGGTATATTTTCCACCCCGATAATAAAATGGTCGATAATATACGACCATTATTCGGAGGATAGCCAATTATTCTAAACAAAACGTCAAAAGGCACAGAAATTTAATTTAAATACTGCTGTTACTATATCAATGCTGTTGTCACCTTTGCCAGGCTGTCAGCAAGAAAATCTGTTTATGAATGAGGATGAAATATGGGCATGATGATGAAATATGGGCAATGATGATGAAATAATAGGGGCACACAATACTGCATTTGAGGAGACCACATTCCCTTTCATAATTAATTAAATTGTTGCAAGAAATAAATATTCCTTATACATTTTCTGGCTATCCTCCAAATAGCGGGCGGTAAAGATGACGGCCGCAAAATATCCTTTCGAGCCGCAGTCATGTGTCAATTGTGCACTTCCAGCGACTTAATTTGTGGTTTTCTGGCGACTACCGGTACCGCCACCGCCACGAGTACCCCACGCCGCTCACTAAAGATGGCGGCCGCAACATATCCTTTTGAGCCACAGTCACGTGACTTAATTTGCGGTTTTCCGGCGACTACCGCCACGAGTCTTGGCGTGGACTGGGGCTAAACTAGATGGCTAGGACCCACGAGCAGCAGCTTCAGCATCTCCTGCAGCTTTGCTCGTGAGTCCTAGCCATCTAGTTTAGCCCCAATCCATGCCAAGACTCGTGGCGGTAGTCGCCGGAAAACCGCAAATTAAGTCACGTGACTGTGGCTCAAAAGGATATGTTGCGGCCGCCATCTTTAGTGCTGCACGAAGTTAAGAGAATAGCTCATTTTGGCACTCTTCCGAATACCGGCCCCATATTATTTACTGTCCAAAACATTCCTTTTAGAGCCTCAAGGGGTTCAAGAGGTTACAAAGAGGTCAAGGGGTTATAAAGAGGTTATACAAAATATGGAACAAAACGTGAAATAATAATTGAAGCCATCATCATCAGTTTTCACTTCTGCGCAATGTTTAAAGTTAAGCGCCGTGGGGAAAAATAGTTTTCGATCGACTGAAGTGACGTGGGGAGGATTAATTTTCGATCCATCGGAGCGCTGTGTTGATGGGTAGCAACGTTAAAATCATCATCATCAGTCTTCACTTTTGCCGTTAAGCGCCGTGAAATAATAATTGAAGCCATCATCATCATCAGTTTTCACTTCTGCGCAATGTTTAAAGTTAAGCGCCGTGGGGAGAAATAGTTTTCGATCGGCTGAAGTGACGTGGGGAGGATTAATTTTCGATCCATCGGAGCGCTGAAGTGACGTGGGAAGGAATAATTTTCGATCCATCGGAGCGCTGTGTCGATGGGTAGCAACGTTGAGATCATCATCATCAGTGTAGCAACGTTAAGATTATCATCATCAGTGTAGCAACGTTAAGATCATCATCATCAATTTTTACTGCTGCCGTTAAGCACCGTGAAATAATAACTGAGTCGCTGAAACATGTGTCACCCCCCACCCACCCCGCTCCTTTTCTCCCTCCACACAGTGGAATTTTTATAAGAAAGATAAATAAGATACACACAATATATATATATATAATACACAAATTATATTCAATCAGATTATTAAATTACAAGAAGCCAAATCAGGATTTCAGAAGGAAAAAATAAATTGTCGGCCTGTTTCTCTAAATATCTAATGCATTTGATGTATATTGAAGAGAGCGCTGCGTTATACCTGCAACAATATCATATCTACTTTGATGGATTTAAAAATACCAAGATGTGTAGTAGAAACGACATAGCAGAGAAGATATACTTGGCTACAACTTATCTAAACACAAGAGGATGTTCAGTATCAATGAAGTGTGTACCACCTGCTAGTGTGGTCACTGAGAAAATGAAATGACAGACGAAAAGAAGGAAATGCAGGAAAAAAAAATACAATACACTTTCCGTCAAAGAAAAGTGGCAACTCTGCCAATAATATTTGACAGTTATATGTCGAAATTGTGGCACTACAGTTGTAAATACTGTCCAAAAACATGTTCTTTGTGACTGTGACGCCACTGAAATTCGGCTAAATATGTATTAAACAATGCACGACTAGTGCCGCCTTGGAAACGCTGTTTCCTTTTGACTTGCATCCACAGCCCTTCAATTGTTTGGGTGTGGATGTCTCCGTGTACATGGTCAACAAAATTAATAGCATGAACAAAAACGAGATGTTCATATATGCCATTGTTGAGTTGACCAACGTTGTTGTAGCCTCGCCAGGCATCGGTGAAAATTGTCGTTCCTGGTAACACAT